GGGTGGTAAGGGGCCTTAGGGCTAATGTTACCTTCTTTGCTTTGGCAGCTTTCTTGGAGGGTGTGGGTGTTAGAGACATTCTTTCCACTGGCGACACAAACAACCCCGGAGTGTGAGCCGCATTCCTGAGTGGTATCCCAGTGCTGACAGCTCGGTGCCAGCTTTTCTTACAACTAGCATACTGGTTTCTTTTAAAAACAGCTATCTATCTATCTGTCTGTCTGTCTGTCTGTCTGTCTGTCTGTCTGTCTATCTATCTATCTATCTATCTATCATTTTATTTGGTGTGACTTTTTAAAAACCACAATGAATCAATGAAACATTGATTCCTAACGTGCACTTTTTTGTTTGAAAATATGGTACTTTTAGTTAAGTCCCTTTTAACTACACATTGGTTTATCTTTTATTTTTTATTTTTTACCTTGTTCACTAGTTGGTGGAACCGTCCTTTCCGCCCACTGGGCCTTCCTGCAGCCCAAATCTTCTCCTTTAGCTCAGCCCCCCAATTCTTCTCCTCCAAACCTGGCAAACACCGAGCCACCCGCCGGCCTGAGGATTTGTCTCTCCTGGACAGCAGGCATGAATGACTCATGTAATGCCTGTCTGAGCGTCTGGCTGTCATCAGGGTGTTCTCTGGTGTCACGGAGCTGCAGCATGTCACCACAGGGGACAGGCACCCGCTGTGTCCTCTGCTGTATCTACTTACCCATCCTTAGCCGATGAACATCCAAATTGCCAACTCTCTGGCTGCTGAGAAAATCCAAGTACGTGTTTTTGTGTAGATGGAAGTTTTCAGCTATCGGGTAAAGATCTAGGAATGGAATTGCAAGGGTCCCAGGGAACCTTAATCTGGTGATTCTCCGAAGAGGTGTACCGCTTTATCTTCCCAAAAATGATGAGGAGGACCCCAACTTCTCTCAGTTACATGTCTTTTTATTATGTCTTGGAGGTTACAGCCACACTAGTGGGTGTGAAATGATAGACTGCGGTGGCTTTGATCAAGTTTCTCTAATGAATAAGCATATAATAAGGTCGTCTTCTCAGGGGCTCGCCCTACATTCTGGATCGTGTTTGGAGAAATATCTGTTCAGTTTACTTTTTTTTTTTTTTGGTAGTATTCTTCTTTTTTCTTCATAATTTTATTGATACAGTTCACTTCTTTTTTTTTTTT